CGTTGTTTGTAATCATAATATCCGAGGTCGGTGGAATAAACAAATCGGCCAAATTAATAAAAGCCCTCCAAACTGACAGGAAAATACTCACCATGTGATTGCAGGAGAGTGGTTTCATCTGGCTTTCACACAGGAGCGATTGGTTATGGTAACAAAGTGGTTTCTTATTGCACAAATCAGGAGAGAAGACCATCGTCCAGGAAGGAGTGACTAGGAAAAGCACTCCAGAAATTAAGAGAGCACCCTTCAACTTCCACATGGCTTTCAAAGACACGGCTACATAACTTGAATGAAAAATATCAAACTGAACTTGGTCTACAATGGTTTACGACGAGGTATGGGAGTCCCGCAGAGCAGCGTATGTCCCAACGTTGCTCTGACGATACACAAGGTATCACTGAAGGCTTTCGATGCTCTCAGGGTGTATGCCGTCATACGTCGCTTATCTGTTGCAGTTGCCAGTTAGGAGTTTGTTTTCCGTCTCTCTCTTCTTATAGATTACGCGATATTTTGTGTAATCAGTAATGTCATAGAGTATGGAGATAATTCTACCCATGGAGTGTTTTTCTTTTCATATGTTTCCCTTCGATGTATACGAATGTAACAAAGGGTAACTGACAACTTGTATGCTAATAAGGTGGTGAACACGATCTCTTCAACAAAATGTTCCTTGGATTTTTTTTAATACAATTAATATTCATCTTAAACGCGTCACTGAACACCACAGAAGTAATACATTAAATGTCTCGGGGCATTACAAAGTGCGCGACATGTGAGAAAGTGACCATAATGGAAAAGGTAACCTCCCCCCCCAAAAAAAAAGACACTTTCACGCAATACGTATATATCTTTCTGACATTATCACTTCAGGGTATTTTTTTTCGGTCTACCCAGTTATCTACTTGAAATCGATCACTATTTCAATTTTCTCCGTCCCCTCTGTAAAGTAGATACATACTCTCATAATTCTTTTTCTTTTTATCCTTTTAATTAACGCTCTCTCTCTCTCTCTCTCTCTCTCTCTCTCTCTCTCTCTCTCTCTCTCTCTCTCTCTCTCTCTCTCTCTCTCTCTCTCTCTCTCAAATAAGGAATTAAACACACATATAGACAGATCGATTGATTGATATACAAATAAATATAAATATATATAAATGAATGAATACAACACACACACACACACACAGAGAGAGAGAGAGAGAGAGAGAGAGAGCGAAGGAGAAAGAGAAAAAAGAAAAAAGAGCAAAGAGAGAGAGAGAATAGTCAGAGACAGAGACAGAGAGCGAAGGAGAAAAAGAAAAAGAAAAAAAGTAAGAAAGAGAGACAAAGAGAGAGAGAGAGCGAAGGAGAAAGAGAAAAAAAAGAGTAAGAAGAAGAGAGAGAGAGAGCGAAGGAGAAAGAGAAAAAAAAAGAGTAAGAAAGAGAGACTTAGAGAGAGAGAGAGAGAGAGAGCGGAGGCGGTACATTTACTTGTTATAAACGCTACACTTTCCTTTCACTTCTTACTGTGTATAACTTTTTTCTTTGCTCCACTTCGTTAACTCATATTCTAGTCTGCCTATTTTTTCTTACCTCCCTTTAATCATTTTCCTGCGTTAAAAGTCCGCGCCCTCCACTTAAGCAGCGCTATGATTATCGCTTATCAAACGCCACATCTATAGTTTGGATTTTATCATTTCATTTTCAACCGAAAGTAATGAGGTAGTCCATTCTCCGTGTGTGTAATTTCTCCGGAATTTCGTCTCAGAAATGTCACTCGCAACCACACTCACTCTGCTTCATCAGCTTCCTTCACACTCATCACTTCCTTTCAGCATCGGCTTCCTTCACACTCACACTTCTCCTCATCAGCTTCCTTCACACTCACTCTCCTTCATCAGCTTCCTTCACACTCACTCTCCTTCATCAGCTTCCTTCACATCAGCACTCACTCCTCCTTCATCACTTCCTTCACACACTCACTCTCCTTCATCAGCTTCCTTCACACTCACTCTTCTTCATCAGCTTCCTTCACACTCACTCTCCTTCATCAGCTTCCTTTACACATTTTCTTCTGGAATAATTCGAAAGTTATTCGGGTTATGGATCTTGTTTTTGTGCGAATTTCGAGTGATTTGCATTTCTGCGCTTCTGATCCATGGTTGCGTAACACAAGGTCTATATAAGTGTATGTACTTATTTAGAACTTGGTTTATTATGGGCTGGATAAATGCGAGCATACGCAGATGTACTGTATGTATACTGTAAATGTGTACATATGTGAGTTTGAATGTGTAATTGAATGTGAATGCATATGCACACACACACACACATCCACACACACACACACACACACACACACACACACACACACACAATACACAATATGTATCTGTGGTGTATGTTTGTATGCATGTATGTGTATATATTCATATATATGTATATATATGCATATACATACATACATACATATATATATATATATAATACATACTTACATACATACATGCATACATACATATATTGCATATGCATATGTATATACATATCCATATATATACTTATATATATAGTTTCCGTTCTCCTGTCCTCACCTGCCCCGTGGTTCCCGAGTGCTTCTCCTCCTCCCTCTTATACCGCTTCCTCTCCCTTGCCTCCTCAGTCCCGAAGTTGAAATCGAGGACGTTTTTGTAACTGTTGTCCTAACTTTCTGAAATAAATTTACTCTGCGCATTGTGGGTTTTACTAGCATTGTATCAGTTGTGTGTGTGATTATATGCACACACACACACACACACACACACACACACACATATATAATATATATGTATGTATACATATTATATATGTAGTAAATATTATATATATATATATATATATATATATATATATATATATATAATATATATATATAAATATATATATATATATATATATATATATAATATATATATATATATAAATATATATATATATATATATATAATATATATATATATGTGTGTGTGTGTGTGTGTGTGTGTGTGTGTGTGTGTGTGTGTGTGTGTAAATGTATATATATATATATATATATATATATATATATATATATATATATGTATGTATGTATGTATACGAAACATCCGTATATACATACATATGTATATATATAGATACATAGATACATGTATGTCTGTGTATTTACATTCATACACACACACACACACACACACACACGCATATATATATATATATATATATATATATATATATATATATATATATATATATATATATACATGTGTGTGTATATAGGTATATATATACATATATGCGTGTGTATGTATGCATATATACATGTTTACATACATACATATATAATATATATATATATATATATTATATATATATATATGTGTGTGTGTGTGTGTGTGTGTGTGTGTGTGTGTGTGTGTGTATATGTGCGTGTGTGTGTGTGTTGTGTGTGTTTATAAATTATATATATATATATATATATATATATATATATTATATATATATATATATATGTGTGTGTGTGTGTGTGTGTGTGTGGTGTGTGTGTATATGTGTATGTATGTATGTATGTATATGTATACATATATATGCATATATATACACACGCACACACACACACATACATGTTTATGTGTGTGTGTTTGTTTAAGTTCAACTTGACCAGGCATATTTTAGCAATTTGTGTGCGTACATCCTGCAAGACGCGGTGCGCATGTCCGTGCATTTGTTTTTTGTGTTTGTTTTTTGGTCGAGAACCAGGCACTGAGTGAAAGTCCAGCCAAGCACTGTGTTCAACCCGAACAGTCTCACGTGGACACCACACCATGTCTATCGGTGTGTGGATGTGTGGGCGTTATTTTCTATAATGATTATCTAGAGAATCAAACACTAATTCGAAGGGAAGAGCCGATTGGGATGATGGTTGGATGGACGTCTCGGAAAAGAGAAAATTAGAAAACTTATCAACCGCTACTTTTTTTTTAGGGGAGGCGAAGGGAAAGGGGAGTGAGAAACGGAATTGATAAGGGAGAAATAGATGTAGGTGTTACTCTGTGTTTTAGTTACGATTAATACGGTGTGTGTGTTTCAAGAACCGAGTATTATGCAAAATTCGACCAATTTCGAAAAGTTCTATGTATTTATGCGTCTTATTTTATATTTGGATATCTTGAGAACCCAAGCACTGTATGAACTTTGTCCAAGAAATTTATTGATCATAAACAGTCGTATTATTAGGTGGAATTGCAACAGTGCATTCAAATTTTAGGCGTGTGTGTTTGTCGGTTCTGCAAGGATGAACATTGACTCATCGACTTGTTCAGCGGTTCTCCTTTTGAATGTCAGAGCATTCAGGTTTTTTGTGGTCGCGCGCAACGCCACCTTGCTTTGTTCCTTCAGATGTTCAAAGTGGAAAGGACACTTCAGGTCTCTCGTAAAGGATGCGTGCATTGATTTATGAACAAATATGCACATACATATGAAGAAATGCACACACACACATACATGTATCTATGTGTGTGTATCATATACATACATTTATATATGTATAAATATATTGAATCTAGTAGCCCAACATGTAAAAGAGAAGAAGAAAGAACAATTAATCGAGGACTCTGCGTTAACTTTAATCATTTCTTTTTCAAACTACCGAGAAAAAAAATACACGGTGACGAGACATGGAGCGCTAAGGAGGCAATTTTGGAGACGAGCGTATGCGGCAACGCTGTTTCCTGTGGTTGACCAGCGGGCTATCACACCTCTGATCTGTGACCCGCGCGTTTTTTCTGGTATCCCCGGGCCTGCGAGCTATCTGTGCACCCCTATTCTCACAGGGACTCGAACGTAAGTATTCCATAGTCCCACATAACAAGTACACAACCAAGTTGTAATTGTGGCAATCGCATGAAATGAATACTCCAATATTTTGAGAGGATTAACATGTTACTTAGTACACTCCATAGTCCCACATTACAAAGAAATAGACAAGTCATAGGGCACTTTCCACGTCATGGGGAGTGTAGTAAGTAATTACATTAATCCTTTGGTAATAAAGGAGTATATATTTCATATGTCACAATTATGAATGTCACAGGGACTCACAAAAGTAAGCATTCCATAGCTCCAAGTTATTGTAGTGACAATCACGTGAAATATATACTCCGAGGGTTAACATAATGACCAACTACCTTCCCCATGACGTGGAAGGTGCCCAATGACTTGACTATTTCCTTGTTTTGTGGGACTATGGAATGCAGTTGGTAATTATGTTAATCCTTTTAAAATATTGGAATGTGTGTTTCATGTAATTGTCACAATTATGACTTGGTTATATATATGTTATGTGGGAGTATGGAATACTTATTTCTGAGTCCCTGTGACACTATATGTGTATGGATGTATGTATACAT